GACAGCATCCTCGTGTCAGCCAGGCTCTGTTCCCACTCCCTCGTGAGTGAACATTAGGGAACTGGCTTTTAAGTGAAGCCTGTTTAATATGGCAAAAGCTGGGAGACTAATAGATGCAGGTGTTCACAGTATCGGTATGAAATGTGGTGTTTGTATTAGCGTTGTGGTAGCAACGGTCTTTTTAACGGTGAGGTGGTAATTTGGTCCAAAGCCCCTGTTTTCAGCTGTCTTCCTTTTGAAATAACTGCTTTCAACCTGTTCTCAAAGTTGTTGCTTAACTAAGTCTCAGCTGCAGAGACAACCGACGACTCTGACCTAAACTTTTTCTCCCTACCCAGTACTGCGCATAACCACTTGTTGATAGCTAAAGCAGAACTTGTGTTTGACCAAAGTATTTTTTCAGAAGAAAGGCATCTTACCCTGGTTTGCAAACCTCAGGAGGTAGGTTTGGGCTGAAGACCTTGTGTCCCTTATAGCTGTTCTCAGGTTTAGTCCTCCCTGTTTAAAGGACTAAACCTGGGAACAGGTTTGCAGCTTCCCGCCTGCTACAAATCTGTCTTCAGATTCCACATCTACTGCACCTTTCAGCAGCAGCGTGAGGAGGCTCTTTGTGCATCGTCTGTCTGCCCCAGTGAGGAGAGTTACCATTAATGGCTTGTTGCTTCCACAGTCTTTTGGATAAGTTACACATTCTGGGTTTGATTACTCATTATGGGGCATTTTGCTGGGTTTTCGCTGACGAACAGAGAAGAGGGTGGTGTGCTATACCGTCTCCTTTCTTCCCCAGTATCCTTATGAAAATACTTTTTTTAATACCAGCATTTTATTTTTCATGAATCCGAGTCTAAAACAGCTGCAGTGAAGATGATCCTGCTTCCTTAGCTGCAAGATGCTTTTGGTGAAGGAGGTCTCTTTGCACAAGTGTGTGTTGCAAGCCATGACCCTGTGTGGAAGGTTTTTAGCCACAGAAGGTGTATCTGTCCAACTCAGTCTAGTCCAGCAGTCACCCATGTCTCATCCTCAGATCTATGAGGATTCATGGATTGCTTGTAAGGATCAGAGATGAGTAAGGAGGAAAAGCAAACCTATTAATGTCAGGTTAAACACTTTCAGGGCTTGGTGCATTTATTGGGAAAAGTCTGGGGGTTAATAGCTCCAAGAGGATTGAAAATTACTGGTCTGGCTCAGTCACTTGAGATTATAGACTAATGTGTGAGTTCTTAGCTGTTGCCATCGAGGAGGCAGCAGCGAAAAAACCCCACACCTGACCCAAGAGTAAACAGGCCTGGGCTTTGTTCATGTGTGGATGTGAGGCTTAGGTGGAAAGTCTATGAAAAGCTTGGAACTAACGGAGCAGCTATAAGATTGCTCCTGGCAGAGAAGGCGGTTTCTCCTGCAGCTCAGGAGGCAACCCTTGTGCTTTCAGATGCACAGGTTCCCAGTTCAGTTTTCTGCTGGAACAAATTCCTCCCGAGTAAGGACAATTGTACATCTGATGGCTACTTCAAGGTCGGGCTGGATGCAGTGAGGTAATCACTCTGCTGTCCAGATTGTACACGTCCATGCCAGGATGTTCTTGCCCACTAGCTGTTTTTTGTTATATTTATGGTTGAAATGGGGTTTTCATTCAAAGATCTTGTGTTCAGACAGCTATGACTTTACAGACCAATCACTGTGGGGGAGAAACTTGATGCTTGCTCGGTGATAGATGTTTGTTTAAAGTTGGAAGAAGACTTATTCAGTCACTATCTTAAGGATCAGACATTCAAATAAGCAATTGACTTTCGTCAAAATACCTTTTTAAAAAATTATTATTGAAGAGTGTATGAAAATAATACAACCATCAGGTTGACATTTACTTCCCAGGTCAGGTAGTTAAGGTCCTTTCAGGGGCTGTAACTGTTCATTCTGGGATGTTTGCATGGTAGTAGAGTCACACGTTTCAAACATATGGAGCAAGGGGAATCCCCTCCTTCTGGGTCCATGCAGAGTCAGCTGCATTGGCAGAGAACGATGCTCTGTACTGCACATATGAGTACGTGATAGACGGAGCCAGTGGTGTGTTTGATTTATTCTGCGTTTCTGATAAGGACCGATATGTCGTATGTCATGTACGAGCTTCAGTAGCATAATGAGAGTGCAGTATAATCAGTTTCTGGTTTCTGAGCTGCTGCATGTAAGAAATGCTTACTCTGTCATGGTCAAGTTTGCTGCTGCTCATATACAGAAGGATCCTGCTTTTGGAATCGGTGTGATGAGCTCATGTTGGCCAGCAACTCTGATTGTCTTAAACGGAGTAATTGTATCCACTGAGCTCCTAATTTTGTGAAGTCGTATGCAGCCTTCCAGTCTCGTGATGTACAGCTTCCCTACGTTTTTGGTGTGATGTAAGCAATCTTGGGTGAAATTCCCTGCTCTGTTATGTATGAGGTCAGCCTAAATGATCTGTCTTGGCCTTAAAAAGAAAACAAATCCTATCGCCCGTGCTTGCCAGCATCTGGACATTTTGCTGCTCTACTCTGCATGGAGGTTGCGATTTTGTGGACTCTGGAAAACTTTACTTAAAAACCCATTTGCAAATCCATAAGGAAATGTGTGACTGGGGGCTTAGGTAGTCGCAGCTGGAGTATCTTCCTAGCTAGTGACAGCAGTGTGGATCCTCTAGCTTGGGGGAAGCATGGTGATTTTAGCATATAGCATTTAAAAATAAATCCATAGCTGCTGCCTTCTTCAAGGCAACATAAACTCTTCAAGCATAAGCTTTTCAGTGCTGTATCTTTAGAGAAGCATTTCCTATCATTCGGATGTATTTGATGTTGTTTGCTGCATTACACAGAGAAAGCTTTGTAATTTAGCACCCGAAACACATCTTTCCTCTCCAAAGAACGACTGGGAGAGAAAGAAATTCCAGCAAAGCCTGCAGGGGTTGAAGAAAATGAACTCCTGCTGCAGTTGCACACTTGCACACATCTGGTGCAATTGAAATTTAAGAGCTGAATACATCCACATCTGACCATGGGAGGGTCCAAACATTAGTGTTGACGCTGGTTTTCTTTTTGGATAGGCACACTGGCAGAGTCACTAGCGTGTGGAGCCGTGTCAGCTCTCTAATCTAATAGACTGTTCTTGCCCAGACCATTGTGTGTCAGTATTTTATGGACCAAATGTAGCCAGGTTTAATAATTGGCCATTTTCCCACCTTCTGCCAAACTTTTTCCCTTTTTTGTCACAATTTAATGTTTGAGTCAAAATCTGCCATGGTAACAAATTATATACATACTAAAAAATGAAAATAAAGACGGAAAGCAGAGTCACAAAGGTAACAAGAGTTCAAAGTAATGTCATCTGAGTGGGGTTGTTTTAAGACTGGAATTCAACCCCGTTTTAAAATTGTTTTTATTTCTGTTATGTGTTGTGAAAAGATTACGAAGAAATGGGTATTGCTTGAAAGAATGACTGTAACTCTGTATATGTAAAATTGTGAATGTCTTCCCTTTGCAGGGCTGATTTGATCTATTTGCTTTTGAGTTACTAAATAATCTGTGGAGCTTTTTGGATTGTGTTTTTCTTACTTGAAGTGATTGCCTTCACCTAGCACCTCTGAGGCTATTTATGCTTATTTCTGATGACTGTATCTATCATATAATGTATGTTACCAGCAAGTTGTTTTGGTTTAAATTGCATTTTTTAAAGGGCCCTCCACTCGCCTTGCTGGTGGCACAGTTGCTGCTGTCATGTACTGGGTTAGCGATGCTGAGGACCAGGGACCTTGGAGGAGCATCGCCAGGGAATTAACTGCCTGGCAAACACCAGCACCAGCTGGAGAGGGGCTCAGTTGCTGGGAGGGCACTGGCATGGGATCACCCAGTGCCTTTGTGATTTTAATGTTTAGTAGGTTATTTCTTTTTCTGTGCTAATTTGAATCTTGCATTGAAGTACCACAGCTTGAGTGGAATGCTTTTGAAACTAAAACCTGGTTGTGAGTTCCAGGGCCAGGTAGGTGCTTGAACTTGCTGTTGGTTGAGTGAAGGATGCTGGTAAAGCCGTATGTGTCCAAGCAATCAACCGTTTTGATCATTATATCCCAGGAGGGAGCAGTTTCTGCCTCTGTCACATGCAGTGAGGGATGCCATCCAGGTCTGGTGTCTGCTTTGCTGGGACACGGGCTCTTCGTGATTCTGTTCGACATCATCACACATATGGTTTCTCCTCCCCCTGTGCCACTGCTGCACTACAGTGGGGACAAATCTGTAGCAATGGTCAGAGTTACTTGTCTGAATTAGCAGTTAGTTAATGGTTAAGTAATTTGTACTTTAATTGAGTTCATTCTTCTCTGCAATTTAATTAGGAGGTTTGTATAAATAACGGCAATAATTGAGTGGCTTTAACAAAAAGACTGGAGCCTAGAATAAATGTAAAGCTTGGTGCTTTACCAAGCTGCCAGAGTCCACCTCCTCCGCGGGTCGCAGGGCACTGTGTTCTCTGGTCTGTACTTTCTCAGTCTGTTCCTAATTGTGTGTTGGGGAGCTCTCCCAGAGATGTGCTTTGACATGATCCCAGCGTTTGCTGGAACTGCTGGAGTTGTGGGACTTCCCAGGATGATTAGTGTATCTTGGTGAACAATGGCCTAAGCAACCCATTAAATTGTAGCGTATCCTCCTCCCGTTCCGTGCTTACTCCCAGCTTCTGGAGAGCCGATTAGAGACTTGGCAGGAACTCCATGGTTATGCTCTAGATACGCTTTGGACACATTATTGTCACAGTTGAGGTATTGCAAAAGCCGTGCCGTTCCCGTCTTTATCCTAGTGAGGTACCTCTTTCGGTTGTGCAATATCTGTGGCTAATTATGCGGCAATTGCAGTGTGCCACCAGCCACCCACAATTCACTGTCAGCTCCTTGGGGATGTAGATGAAAAAGGAAAGATAATGTTTTCTTTCTTCAGTCCAGTGATTTAGCTTGCCTCTTTTATTTTTTTTTATTTAATCCCCTGCTCCTTCAGGTAATAAAGCCAGATGGTAGTGACAAAGAAACAGAAGCCACGCATGAATCAGATGTCCCCGAGGAAATGTTGGGGACTTGCATTCCTCAAGAGACGGCGAAAGGCGATGCTAAAAGTCCGGATGTCATTATAGAAGCTCAATTTGATGATAATGATGCAGAGCATGGACAAGACCACTTGCAGGATTTGTTGACTGATGACGTTAAGAAACTTTCCCTGGATGCTGGTGAAAAGGGTGAGTAGATCAGATTGCTGATTTAAACCCTTATTTGAGCAAACTGTTGAAGTATTACTTTGTTGCCTTGCTTTGCTGCAGGATATAAAATACAGGCATAAAAGCTTAATGCCTTATCACTTCTATCCCTTTCTGCTAAAATGCCTTCATAGATTTGAATGGATATTAAGGACTGGGTTTTATGTAGTTTTGATTGATGCAAAGTAAATCTGTGAAACAGAAGTCACACCTTTAGATTTGCAGTTCTCGGGGCTGTCGGGGGACTGCTGGTTGCTGTTTAATTCAAGATGCTGCTGTAGCAGTTTCTTTTGTCGTAGCTTGGCTGGCCAATCTATGTGTCTCAGTTTGGGGATAAGAATATATTTCCTTGGGGGCAGTTAGGTTTGTTGCTGTTTTCAAACAGTTGAGTTATGAGCAACTTAAAGATTTGGTCCATTTAAAAAGAAAATTGCACTAAAACCTAAAGCCAATTACGCGATCTGTTTTGAAGGCAAACCTATTTTATTCTGAATCTGAGTTCCATCCAAACCATCAAGTGTGGCTTAGGGCAAAATAAAACCGGCTCCCCTGTCCCAAACTATGCTTATGCTGCTCTTTGCCTGTCCTTTCTAGTACTAAATCCCTTCCTGAAGAGCTATGTGTTGAAAGGGTTCTGACAATTGGCACATTTAATGTGTGCCTTCAGCTGCTGGTGAAAAATTTCTCAGGACAGATACTCTGATGCATGTCCCACTTGTCCAGAAAAGATGGCAGTAACTTAGGACATAAGTAGTTGTTGGCCTCTGACAAACCCTGTTGGTGGTTGTAAGGCTGTTCTATTTAATACCTCCGGTTCTCCGGAGGGATTGCTTTTGGAGATGCACAGACCTCTGCCTATACTGTTGGTAGACTTCCATTTTCACACCCATCTGCTAATAAAACTGGAAATAACATTTGAGTGGAAGTGTTGTAGTTTTTATGACAAAACATGGGTTTCAGCTCATGTGTGGAGCTGCCACCACACCAGTTCAGGATGCAATTTCCTTCTCGGTACCTCCGCCATCTCTGAGTTACTGCCAAGGTATGTGAACCAACTTCCGTCTTGTTCTGTTACTTTCCAGCACAGGCCTTGAGCTGGGAGTTACTCATCTTGTCTGTGGATGTTTTACACAGCTGGTTATTAACCCCATCTGTTTTGCAGTCTTTGACACTGTTATAGCTGCACACCGTTGAGCTGCTGCTTTGACTTGACGATTCTGAATCTCCAAAATGGTCCCGCGTCACGTGTCGTGTGTTGCATCTCTGTTGCTTCTTAGATATCAGGAAGAAGTTCTGATATCTGAGAGGAGAGGGTGCTGAAGCACTGGCACAGGTTGCCCAGAGAAGCTGTGGATGCCCCATCCCTGGAAGTGTTCAAGGCCAGGCTGGATGAGGCTTGGAGCAACCTGGTCTAGTGGAAGGTGTCCCTGCCCATGGCAGGGGGGTTGGAACTAGATGATCTTTAAGGTCCCTTCCAACCCAAACCATTCTGTGATTCTGTGATAGCAATGCCAAATTAGAATCCAGAGAAATACATTCTGGTTTGACACCAGCCTCTAAAATACAAACTTGAGCCAGTATTTTACTTTACAGTAATGCAGAGTCATACAGGTAAAGGCTTGCTGAGAGTTACTTCTCTTGGTGCATCACAGTTGCTCGGGATACTCCGGAGTGACCTGTGTTGGAGGTTATCAAGTCATCTCTTAAAATCTGTGCTGTCTGAGTGGTTTTTCCCATTTAATTCTATCTTTGGAGAATGTTTGTAGGGCAAATGTTAGATCAGCTTAATTGTCCACAGAGTTGAAATCCAACCTACTTTTCCACTGCAACTGCCGAAGCCAACCGTTTCCTTTTGTTTTCAGGGCCTTTCCGTGTTCATCCTTAACAAGCCTTGTGGCTGGAGTGGATGTGCCAGTTAGATTTTTGCTGAGTTTGTATTTTGCTATCGCCTCTTTTAATAGTTGCTTCAGCTTCTCTGGCCATATAACCCATATGGATTTTTCTCTATTTTCTTCTTGCTCTGCTTTTTAATGCCCTCCCTTTTTTATACATGTAAAGTTTACGATGCTGCTTTTTCTGAAGGTGTTTTTGAGCAGTTGATGATTGCTTTGGCTTGTTTCCTGTCTTTCATGCTATTTCTCATATCATCACTTACCCAGATTTTAAGTCTTGCCTGGAAAACAGCTATAGTTATTCTAGCATCAGTGATAACTGTCATGAAAAAAAGAAAAGATCCTGCCAAATTCAGCCTTCACAGGTGTGGCTCAATATGCTTTTTTAAAAGGACTGAACATACACTTTTCCAAGGCAAAACTCAGCCTTAGAGGCACTTCCTAAGGCCATCCACGGGACTGTGGTACCGGCACCGGGAGGCAGGGTTGGAGCGTAGTGAGTGGAAGTGCCCTTCCCTGTGTAACGTGGGCCTCCCCTGGGAGGGCTGCTCGGCTCCTGTGGCCTGTCGAACTCTCCTTTCAGGCTATAACTGCATATGAGCCGTTTTCTTCTGTGTTACATCCCTCCTGCTGGAAACAACTTCTGCAGCACGACACAGAGAGGTGGATTGGAGATGAGAGCCCGTGGGGGGATTTCTTGCTGACCCACCAAAACCAGCACTTCACTTACCTTCCCTGGGAGCACTGCTTTGTAGGATTTATTGCACAGACTCATCGCCTGGCCTTATGCACAGAACGGAGCAGGAGAAATAATCTGTGGCCAGTGCAACTCTTAAATAAATGCTCGTAGTGGGCTTTTTTCATTTATTTCCCCCTTCCCCCCAACACTGGGAAGCCTGGAGGTTTCAAGCTGGACAGAGATGCCATCGAGGGTCTCGTATTTAATCAAATAAAATCAAGAAGCAGCGGATCATGTTCTCACGTGCAGTTTATGTATGCATATCCATACATATGTGTCTATATATAAAAAGATTCATATGTATAAAAGTCCTAAACAAAATCCAAACTAAACAAAACCCCCACCAGATTTCTGGGGGTGAAAACTATCCAATCTGGGGATGAAAACTACCCATAGCTACTCTAATGGAATCAAAAGTAAATTTTACTGATTCTGGGGCAAAAAACCAGAGCTGTGTTGAGTTGATGCTCAGAACTTTGTGCACATATCCCCAGGTGCTGCAGCTTGCCGTCTCACAGTTGCAGGATGGCTTTTGTCCTTCCTGATGGAGGAGTGGGATTACGCAATAGCTCTGCTGCTGGCTCATTTGTTCTGCTGCTGCTGGTCAGAATGAACCATGAAGAACATGTCATTCGAATAAGAGCACTCTGGGTCACGCTGGGAGTGCAGGCTGTTTTGATATCTCTTCTGCCCTGGCTTGTGTCCCACCCCTTGTTGTGGCTCTGTTCCTCTTCAGAGTACAGTCACCCCCTCCATCTATAGTTACATGCTGGGGCAAAGAATTTGAGGTTGGCCCTTGCTCTCAGGAGCTCTGAAGCGTGAAACATTGTGTATGCTGATTACAGCCCAGATTTGAGTGGACTGAATTTCCCTGAAGTCGACGTACGTCGGGCTTCCCTATGCCTCTGCAGCTGAGAGCAGTCCGGTAGGAATTGTTATGCGTGGGGCTGCGGACTGAGGCTCAGATGCTGGATCTATCTTCACTGAGTGCTGCGGTTGTGAGAGGTGTGCTTCCTGCCCTCCTCCTCCCAAGAGCCCAGAAGGAATGGGATAACCAAGAGGGAAGTCCACAGAAATGGAGAGACTGTCACATTCAGCCTGATTTTCAGCCCATATGCTTTCTGAAAGTTCTTGTGCTCATAAAAGTGCGTCACTCTTGCTTTGCGCAAGGATATTTAAATACAAGTTCATAACTGGTGTTACTCTGCCAGAAGCCGTCCTGGTCGAATTAGTTTGCTCCACTTTTCTGAACTCGTCTTGCAAAGCAGTTGGGTTAAAGATTGTCTTCAGAAAAGTCTCTGATCTAGAAGTGATGAGCCGTTTTCCTCTCCAGTACGCTGTTCTACACAGAGAGCAATATTATCCTGTTCCAAAGTTAGATTGTCTTAATGCTAAGTTTTGGTCATTGGAGGTAGGTCGGTCTTTTTTAGCGAAGTTGGAAATCATAGAATCATAGAAATCTCTTTCCTCTTTCAGTTGTATGTGCAAGGTGTAAATATCCCTACGCACTGAACAAACCTTCTGGGTTTTTTTTTCTTACAAAGACAGTAAGAATAAGCTCTCTTACTAGTGTCCTTCAAACCCTCTCTGGGGTTTCTGTGCCCTGTTGAAATGCAGGCAGAGAACAAGGCAATGGCACCCTGGCACTAATCTGAACAGTATTACGTACACAGAAAAGACTAATTCCCTATAGTGCTTGGCATTGGTGTGCCAGTCTTCTGTGTTTTACTCTGAGACCTCAACTTGCTCCGTTTCACTGCTAGCCAGAGAAGTCAGCCGTCAGTCGGCATGACCTTTGCCACGTCTGTAATTCTCTTCCTTAATCCTCATTCACTGACTACTGCAACAGAGGTAATGTAACTTTTATCTTATCACTTAGTACTGAGCTAGAATACATTATTCTGTGACTTGTCACTGCAGTAGAAGGATTTTCCTTATACTCCATTTTGATATGTAATAAAAAATAAACTTCTCTGTATCCTTCCAACTGAGGAAAAGTGCAAAATGTTCTGTACAGAATACTTTACAATGCTGTATCCCTACACAGACTTGGGTGTCACGAGTTTCATACAAATATGAGCTGTCTCCTGTTAAATATGGGAATCAGATTACTCTGATAAAGAAACATCGGCAACTGAACAGTAGCAGCTACTTGTACTCTTGAGAATGGCAGCTGTGCTCATAAAAGTGCTTCAGCCTTTCTTAGTAAAAGGATATTCAAATAAAAGTTCGTAGAACTGTGTCACTGTGCCAAAAGCTATCCTTGTCAAACTAGTTTGCTCAGCTTTTTTCAACTCTTCACACGAGAGATCTTACTTTACCAGATACACAGAATATCCTGCTTCCCACGG